CAGGTGAGACAAGGTGCTGGATATGGAGGAACAGAACAGTTGAAGATGTCCCCGTTATTCCTTTACTCTGTTCTGAAGCCCGCTTCCTCCCAGAGGGGTTCTGTGACCCCTCAGATACTCCATCCTCCTCTCCCCAGGTCCCGCACCACTTGCTCTGGGGCTCTGTACCCTGCAGACCACCTTGGTCTGGTTTCTGGGCAAAACTCAGCAGCATCTGGCAGCGTGGGCCCCAGGTTCCTTCCTGGTCCTGATCCAGAAGAACTTACCTGTGAGTAGCTAGCAAGTGGGAAGGGGAGCAGCCTGGGCTGGGCTCAAATCTCACTTCCTGTTTCTGCCAAAGCCTCTATTGCATGAGGCAGCAGCTCTGTCTAGAGTGGCGGCAGAGGAAAGTTTGGGCCTGGAAGTGGAGCAGCAACTGGGCCTGGAGATCCAGAAGCTAACTTCACAGATCCAGGTGAGAAGAGCAGGGGCCCTGACAGTGGCAGTTGAAAAGTCAGTTCTGTGCCCAGTTTGGGGGGTGGGGTGGTGGTGATAGTCATGGAACATTCCAGTGACTTGGAATCTCCTTGGAGTCTCTGATTTTATTTTTTCTTGCTCTGTTCACTTTTGTTCTCTCTTTCCTTAGCTTGTTATGGAAAACTTCAAACATGTACAAAATTAGAGAGAAGAGTATAATGGACCCCCATATCCCTACCACTGAGGCTTTAACAATTATCAGCTTGTGGTCAATTTTGTTTCATCTATAGGTCAGGCTCTCATTTTGTGATGTTAACAGCCACTGAAGATCACTGCCTAGATCCATTATTTCATTAGGGGGTACAAAGTGGTGATATTCCAATTCTATCATATCTTTATTTATTAGTACTTACTCCTATAAAGAAATTTGCCCTCATTAGTTACTTGGTTACTTTGAAGTATATTTTGTAAAGAAAAAGCAAGATAAATAATTGAATCTTTCCTTTTACCTACTAGCTTTTTTTTTTTGACAGAGAGATCACAAGTAGGCAGAGCAGCAGGCGGGGCGGGGGGGGGGGGGCAGGCTCCCCACTGAGCAGAGAGCCCGATGTGGGGCTCAATCCCAGAACCCTGAGATCATGACCTGAGCCTAAGGCAGAGGCTCAACCCAATGAGCCACCCAGGTGCCCCTATCTACTAGCTTTAAAAAAAAAAAAAAAAAAAAAAAAAAAGCTTTTATTTATTTGAGAGAGAGAGAGCACGCGTGCGATCAGGGGGAGGGGAAAAGGGAGAGGGACAAACAGACTCCCTGCTGAGCGCACGGTGGGGGTGGGGTGTGTGGAGGGCTGGATCCAAGGACCTGAGATCATGACCTGAGCCAAAGTCAGCCCCTTACTTACTAGCTTTGAGAGGATATTTCTCCTCTTTTCTATGTTTATCATTTACATTTTTTAAACTAACAATGGTGCCTTTTATTTTATTTTTTAATTTTTTTTAATAAACATATAATGTATTTTTATCCCCAGGGGTATAGGTCTGTGAATCGCCAGGTTTACACACTTCACAGCACTCACCATAGTACATACCCTCCCCAATGTCCATAACCTCACCCCCCCTCCCAACCCCCCTCCTCCCAGCAACCCTCAGTTTGTTTTGTGAGATTAAGAGTCACTTATGGTTTGTCTCCCTCCCATCCCATCTTGTTTCATTTATTCTTTTCCTCCCCCACAAACCCCCCATGTTCATTTACATTTTTATTAAAGTAATACATGTCCATAGTTTAAAAATGAAGTAGGATATTATTTAAGACTTCTAAAATAATGAAAAATATAGCACTTTAATTGCCCCCAACCCACTTCTGATTCCTGTTCCACAGTGATAAGCTTCATCCATTCTTGCCTGTCTTCTAAGATTTTATTTTCTTCTAAACTTATAATATTATATTTTTATTTTAATTTTTCCCCATTTTGCACAGTATCTGCTCCTACTATGGAAGATGTTTCAGTTTTTTTGTTTTCTCTTCCTGCCCCAATTTCTCCTGTGCCCTGAATAGGGGCAAGGCTATAGAGTTCAGGCTTTGTCCCTCTGCTCCTTTTTTCTCCGCATCTTTGCTTACTCACAGTGCCTTGGTGCTATGCACTACGTAGTTTAGCCCTAATCTACGATCTGCACCTGCCTGTTCCACCTCAAGTTTATTGCTGTCTCCTTCAACTCAACATACTCCAAAGCAGGCTTCTCATGAGGGCGTTGCCCAGTGATGGCCATGGGAATCCCCTAAGGAGGGCAGGCCATGGCAGGCATGTTGTTACAGAAGCTCTCTACAGGGTCTGTGGCTCAAGGTGGTGGCTACGCAGTCTCAGAAGAGTGGCAGGGGTTACTGGAGATGGGAAGTTCATAGTTCCTTGAGGGAGTAATGCGGAGATGACTGACCAAAGCAGAAACTCCCTGTGTGCATGCCTGTGTGCACACACACGCACATACACACACACACTTTTGTCCAAGGTTGGGTGGGGGACTGTGGAGGAGAAAGCAGGTTGGCATAAAATTGTGGAGGGCACTGAACACCAGCCCACAGAATTTGGGCTTTGTCTCATGAGAGATGGAAAGCCACGGGAGGAGTAGGAGGGGAACAGTGGAGACCCTGACAGAGTCTCATCCAGCTGTAGTGGTCAGGTTGGGAGGTAAGGAGACCTAAGAGAAGAGTCCAGCTCTTGCTAGTTGTAAGAACAGGGACAGGAACAATGTGCTTACCACGGGAACTAACCATTGTGGGAAGGACTCTGCATGCCTTGTTCCTCTAGGAACATCCCAGACAGAAAGACTCTTTCATAATGTGACCTTGTGTTTCCTCAGAGTATTGAATACAGGGAGATTCCTAACAAATGTCAGTTGACAAAAGGGTAATTTCCTTGGCATAAATAAGAGGGAGTCTGGGTTTTCAGAAAAGAGGAAGAATTGGATTTAGGATAGGCCGCTGTCAGGATATGTACCAGGAGCTGCATGGGCTCCACTTCCCCCTGTCCGGCCCCCAAACCCCTTCTTCTCTTCAGGCTAGCAGGCATCCAGTTACCTTGTCTTTACAGAGCCACTACCACATTACCCATTTCTTGGGGTTCCTCTCCAAAATAGGCTGAAGAGACCCCTCTTTTTTGCTCTCCCATTCCAAAAAGATAACCTATCAAAGCACAGAAACCAAACCAGCACACGGGCCTTTTCTTGCTTTATAGGTTACACTACTCTGGGAAAATGGAAGTAGGGTGTAAAAAATATTCAGTGTTAAGGACATTCCAAAGGTTCCTGAATCTCAGAAAGTTAAAGTCGTTGCTCCTGGTCTGCATATAATTCCTGCCTTCCTTTCACAGTTGATGGAAGACCATACAATTCCCTTTCTTCAGCCTCTGCCTGTCTGTAGGTCATGCAGACCCCTCTCTCTAGCATTTGCTTTGGAACATTCATAGTGGTGAGGGTGTGTCCCTCCTTTTTTCCTTTTGATGTTCCTATAAAGTAAAATTAACCTGGAGGACTTCTAGATGCTGAACCAAGCTAAGGAAAGCAGGGTAATCCTTTGGCAATTGTCTATAATCTTTTCTGGGTCCCGGCCTTTAGGAAGACCCAATAAAAGTTAGGGTATCTCTTGTCAGAATGGCCCAAGCCCGTAGAATTATGCATACAGTTTTGTTCTGGGTCTTTATGGAAGCCAGTTTAAACACCTCAGATTTAGAAGAGCATCATAACTTGGCAAGTCCCTAACAGGTAAGCCCCTTTCGTTTTTTCCATATGTCCACAGCTCCTGCCTGAGGAGTCACTAAGTCTGTTTTTTCAAGAATGTCATAAACAAGCCACACAGGGCTTCGAAATCTACATGCCACGGGGTCGGTACTGGCGGCATCGTCTCTCTCCGGGTAACTCCTCTTCCCAGCATCCCCTTCTACAGTTCCCAAGCAGTAATAGTCTTCTGACCCCTCCAAATCCTAGATCTACTGCTCTGTTTCCATCCTTGTCCTTGCCTTCTGTGCCCCTGCAAATCTTACTGTCTTCCCCCAGACACTCTATTAGGGGCTCAACGGATCTCCATAGCCTCATATCCTGGCCTTTCTCTTCTCTCACTCCAGAACTCCCCAGCATTCCTAGTGAGTATGCTGGGTTGGTGGTTCGCACTGTCCTGGAGCCTGTGTTGCAAGGATTGCAGGGATTGCCACCTCAAGCGCAGGCCCCTGCCCTTGGCCAGGCACTGACAGCCATCCTGGGTGCCTGGCTTGACCACATCCTGGCGCACGGGATCCGGTTCAGGTGGGGAGAAAAGGAGGCAATGGCAGAGGGCTGAATGGAACTGGCAAAGGGGAGGGGATAAGTGGGGCAGAGCAGTTGCAGAGGCAGTAGAGGCCCATGGCACATTGTACCCTGGCCTTCACTCAGCCTGCAGGGGGCGCTGCAGCTTAGACAAGACTTTGGAGTGGTCCGCCAGTTGTTGGAGGAGGAACAGTGGGGTCTGTCCCCGGAACTTCGCCAGACTCTGCTCACGCTCAGCATCTTCCAGAGGCTGGATGGTGCCCTGCTGTGTCTATTCCAGCAGCCCCTGCCTAAGTCTGAGGTGCAGAGGAGGCCTCCCTGTTGCTGTGAGTCACTCTTCCCCAACTCTAGGCTCTTTGCCATGCCCCTTGCTACTTTAGGTGCCCTACCTCCCATCCTCATTAGTTACCTCATGTGGTTGTCAATAGTTGTCAAACCCCTCCTCCTGCCCACTGCCTGTTTTCCACTCCTGCCTTCCCAGGTACATGCAATGAGGTCCAGTCCATCGAACTGCCCAGCAGCAGCCTTAACAGCCTAGAAAGCTTGGAGCCCCCCTCTTCGGCCTGGAGCACCCCCAGCTCAGACAGCTCAGCTGCTAAGCACACTGTGGGGAGGGGGACCTAGCCCAGAGGCTTACCTGGTGGGAAATCAGCAGGCCTGGCTGGCCCTGAGGCAGCACCAGCGCCCGCGTTGGCACTTGTCTTTTCTTTCCTGCCTGGGGATCAGTCCTGAATCCTAAGGAGCCTAGGACCAGGATCCACAAAGTAAGAGCTCCCCAACTCTGGTTTGGAAAGCCCAAATATTTAGAACTGCATATTAAAAAAGCCTACATTTGGGAGCTTAGAAGAAAGGCTACCTGAGAACCACAAGCTACACAGAACCTGGACTTAAAGTGAAGCATCCGTGATCACTCCAGTGCCTGCAATCCAGAGTAAAGGGCCAAACCACAGCCTGGAACCTGGAGGTCAGCATCCGTGGGAGGCTCAGGCCTAGTACCCCAACAGTGAAGACCTCTCAGGGCTCGCACTGCGAGAAGGGCCATAGCGTTGGATCCCAGAGGAAATGGAAAGGGGAAAAGCAGTACAAAGCAGAGAGACCAGGATGCCACTTCCTTTTAAGTCCTAGGAGCCAAGCTAAACACAAAGTTAGTTCATCAGGAACCACAGAAGTGGAATAGGCATTTCTACACTTAGATCAGTCCCAGGAGTTGTATTACCCTCCACTCCCCGTCTCCTATTTTCAGTCACTTAAGAATACTGGGCTAAAGGACCTTCACGTTTAAATTGCCGTTACTCAGAGTTCAACAAGTTTAATCTTCAGTTACCTGAGTAGGGTCCCCCCACCCCCCGTAGCTATATAATCCCTGCCATGGTAGTGTCCCGACCGAAGGGACCAGCGCTTAAGATGGTGTTAACCTAGATCTGGCACAGCAGCGTACAGCGTACGGAAGGGGTAAAGGCTGCAGGAGACGGACGTGTTACCGGAGCCAGGCGCAAGGGCTTCTGCACTATTTATTGTCTTCACCGTGGTACAAGAGGTCTATTGATAGGTATTTACTGGCCGCTTACTTCAGGGCCCTCCATACTCTGTGTGGAACCACCTCCCTTTCTGCCGGCCTTCCTCCTCCTCTCGGGCTGGGTAGCCCGGGTCGGCGGCGGGGGCGCGCAAACACTACAGAGAGTCGGAGAGCCGCACCCCGCAGCCGCTGGGGGCAGGAAGGGGAGGGGGCGCTGCGTCAGAAGACACTTCCGGCCGCACGAGGTCTTCCGGCGCGGAGGTCACCATGGCGGCGTCTTTGGCTCGGCTCGGTCTCCGGTCGGTGAAGCAGGTTCGAATTCAGTTCTGCCCCTTCGAGAAGAATGTGGAGTCCACGAGGTACGAGGCGGAAGAAGCGGGGACGGGAAGGGGCGCGCCTTCCTCTCGCCGGGGGTCTAGCCCCCCGGGTCGGGAGCTCAAACAGTTTTCACACCGCAGGACCTTCCTCCAGGCGGTGAGCAGCGAGAAAGTCCGTTCCACCAACCTCAACTGCTCGGTGATTGCGGACGTGAGGCACGACGGCTCCGAGCCCTGCGTGGACGTGCTGTTCGGTGGGCTCGGGGGGGGGGGGGGGGGGGCGGGAGGGGTGCCAGGCAGCCCGCGCGCCTCAGTCCCGGCACCGCCGCCCTCCCAGTGCTTGACTCGTTTGTTTCTTCCCCAGGAGACGGGCATCGCCTGATTATGCGCGGCGCTCACCTCACCGCCCAGGAAATGCTCACAGCCTTTGCCTCCCACATCCAGGCCAGGGCTACCGCGGGGAGCGAGGACAAGGCCGGCGCGAGTACCGGGCGCTGATAGCGCAAAATAGCCCAACAAGCAGGTTTTAGCTTGGGATGGCTAGAATACCCACCTGAGAAGAGCTTGAGAGACGTCATCACTCGAATCACCATCTGGAGGGACACGGAGCGCCAAAAAAAAAAAAAAAAAAAGAGCGAGAGAGCCATGTGATTACTGATACAACCAGCGTTTCTGGAACAAGACACAATCAGATAGGGGTCTGGACAAACTTGAATTTATTTCACTTTCTAACCATCATCCCGTGCTTAACCGTTTTGAATTTGGCTTCACCCATCACTCACCCAAGGTCCCTCTTACTCTGATCAGCCAAATCCAGTGCTGTTTTTCTCCATCCTCATCCTTCCATCTCAGGAGCGTCTGCCACTTTTAATTCACTCCCTTGTAGAACTTCTCTTCCTCTTATGGCTTTTTCCTTTTAGCCATAAAAGTGTACCACTCTCATCCTTCATTTTCTTTTCTATTTCTGGGGCACGTCATCCTCTGTCATAAGTTGAGCTACCCTTTCCTGTTAAATCCTACATTTTTCTTTGGCTCTGATCTACTGATTACCTCCAAAGTCCACAACACTGTCCAAAATAGAATTGATAATCTTATATACACATATACTTGCCTCTTACCCTGACTTCCCCATTCCTTTTAAAGGCACTTCATCTTCTCAGCCACCGAGGCTGGAAACCACAGCATTTTCTCTGGTTCTGCCCTCTCCCTTTCCCTGCATATCCAGTCAGTAAGTTCAGAATATTCTGTCTTAAACAAAAGCTTCTGAAATGTTTTCTCCATTCCCATTCACTTATATCCCACTAACTATATCATTGTATTCTCCCACCCAGTCTCCTTTTTTCTGATCATTTTTGCTGCTGCTTAACTTTATCTTTCACAGCACATCACTGTTTTTATGTCTCCTTGTTTCACACTGTACCCAGCCTGTTTTTCATACTGGGTTGCTACCCATTGGTGTGGATCATGAAATCAGTTTAAGGGGATAAATCAGCCTTTTAAAAACAAAGTAGAATAGTATCAGAGTGCATGGCACAGGGAATGAGAAGTATTCTTTTTTTTTTTTTTAAAGATTTTTAAAATTTATTTGACACAGAGATCACAAGTAGGCAGAGCAGCAGGCAGAGAGAAAGGGGAAGCTGGCTCCCTGCTGAGCAGAGAGCCTGATGAGGGGCTCAATCCCAAGACCCTGAGACCATGACCTGAACTGAAGGCAGAGGCCTAACCCTCTGAGCCACCCAGGTACCTTGAGAGAAGTATTCTTTTAAGAAATTTTGCAGCCTATAAACAATATACATATATAAAGTAGGAAGTATGTATATGTGTGGGTATCTGCATGTACTTGGTTGCAGTGTAGAATTACTTCTATCCTGGGTTGTAGGAAAAAATGCTTGATTGCTACGGGTTTAAAGAACTTCAGAATGCTTAGCTAGGCAATCAAGGATCTGTAGACACTGTCTTCTGTATTCTTTGCCAAATACATTTTCCATGACTTTGTTAACAGTGTTACTACAGTGCTGCTCTGCTTAAAAGGGTGCTATCTTCAAGAGCTGGTTTTTCCCCTCCCCCTTTAAAAAAAAAACTACCAAAAAACAAACAGCCTATCAGGAGGAAGTATGGTGTAGCTAAGAGCCAGAATTCCTGGGGTTGAAATCCTAACTCTTGTCCCTAAATAGCTCTGTGACTGTGGAAAATTAATCTCCATGCCTGTTCCCTCACAGATAAAATGGGGATAATTGTACCTATCTCTTAGAACTGTTGAGAGGATTAAATGAGCCGATACCTGTAAAGCACCTAGAACATTACTGGGAGCAAAAGTCTTGTCTAAGAGGGCTTATGCTGTAGCCAAAAGGATACTGACAGCCTAGATTTGTTCCTCAGCTCGATGGTTAACTGACTGTTATCTCTGGCCAGATTTTACCACTCTTCTCATCTGAAAAAGTGGGGATGGTTCAGACATTGCTGTAAACACAGATAGAATGCTGGCACTGTGAACTTGAGGTTGGGGCTCTTTTCTCTGTGTCCCCAGCACTTTGCATAATCCCTGATACACATAGTGTGCAATAAACATGTGTTGAATTGACAGATATTTACTATCTACCTTGTGCCTGTAACTTTGATTAGTACACGTACAAAGATGAATAATGAAACCCAGGGATGTAATAAGTGCTACAATAGAGATATGAACTAGATGCAATAGTAGCAAGAAAGATAAAGACAGGAGTGACTATTGGGATTGGTCAGAAGATGATTGTTGGAAGAGCAAAAAGTCTACCAGCGGAGGAGGCGGTGTCAAATAGATTATAGCAAAATAGTAAGTGGACATGCAGCATACAGTATAAGCTTTAAATAATGAGTTTGGATGGGAGCTTGAGTAGCATTATGGTGTTGAGTAGGGTTTTTTAAAGGATGATAGGGACTTGTACTTTATGAACACACCTTTTATACGAAGCTGTTGGTGAGAAACAAGTAGCTAAATCCAAGTTGCTTTTCTGAACCACCATTAATTGTGATGTTAACTCTCCTGGGTCCCCCTGAGGTGCAGGTGCTACTTCTGCAGCCTTCCCTACCCTGGATATAATTGATCCTTCCCCTAAGCTGCTTTGCTTCTTGGGTTGTAGAAAAGGAGGGGAGGGGGGTAAAATGCATTCTTTAAAGTGCATGCATCACCATAACAGTCCTTTTAGGGTTCAGCTAGATAAGGAATCCTAGACTGTCAGAGGGTTGTTTAAAGACATTGTTGGAACAGAGCTCAAGCTTCCTCTTGGGTCCACTCTGGCACATTCCACTTAACTAGGAAGGAAGTCACGGGCGTGGGCAAAGTAATCCAGACTGTTTCAGGTACACGGGCTCCAAGCTGGCCTCTTCCTGGCTCTGTGGCCAGTGCCAAGTTACTTGAACTTTCTAGGCCAGTTTTCGTTCACCTATTGGGGCAGTTAAATGTAAAACACTCGGGATGGCACCTCAGGTTCTTAACAGATATTCATTTAAAAAACAAGCCAATGTGAGATTACTCTTTTCTCTACTAGCCTGTGAAATCCGCGAGGATGACAAAGAAATTCTGGAGACAACCAGCCCTTTGCCACGGCGGTGGCGGCAGTTCCGGACTCGGAGACTTAATCTGACGTGGCGGGGTGGGACTTCCGGCAGGAGGCGGAAGCGGAGCGGAAGGCGCGGACCGGCAGGTGCGGCTGACAGATCTGTGGACGCCCGGGCGCCTTGCGCAAGTCGAGGCGAAGCAGGACCCGGGCTCCATTGCCGCCTCTCCGAGCTCCCTCAACGCAGACCTCCGTGCTGGGATGGCTCGGGGCGAGCGGCGGCGTCGCGGAGCGGCGGCCGACGGAACGCGGACAACTGAAAGGGCGGTTCGGGGCGGCCCGGGACGACGGGGCGGCGAGGCCCGTGGCTCTGCCTGGAGAGCGGCTCTGGGCGTCGTGGTCCTGTCTCTGGCCCTGGGCCTGTCAGGATGCTGGCTGCTGGCGTGGCATCGTGCGCGGCGGGCGGTCACACTGCACTCCGCGCCCCCGGCACTGCCTCCCGATTCTTCCAGCCCCGCCGTGGCCCCGGACCTCTTCTGGGGCACCTACCGCCCTCACGTCTACTTCGGCATGAAGACCCGCAGCCCGCAGCCCCTTCTCACTGGTAACTGGGCCTCGGGACGGGCGGGTAGGCAGGCGGATTCTTAACCTGGGAGCCCCAGCTTCACGCCAGAGCAAGAGTGGGGAGGGGTGTTGTTCCGGAGAGTTATGAGGAGGGATGACCCTGAAATTCTCGGAGACCCAGAGGGACAGGTCCCCTGCTCTCTCTTTGACTTACGTCGCCATTCTACCCCTAGGACTGATGTGGGCTCAGCAAGGCGCCACCCCAGGGACCCCTAAGCTCAGGCACACGTGTGAACAGGGGGACGGCGTGGGTCCCTATGGCTGGGAGTTCCACGACGGTCTCTCCTTCGGGCGGCAACACATCCAAGATGGGGCCTTAAGGCTCACCACTGAGTTCGTCAAGAGGCCTGGGGGTCAGCACGGAGGGGACTGGAGCTGGAGAGTGACTGTAGAGTCTCAGGTCAGGGCCTCAGGACACCCTTCCCCCAGCCCAGACTCCCTCCACCCTTTCTTTGCTGGCATTTCTGCCAGCAAATGCAGTATGATGTGGCAGTTAACTGCAGGGGCTCCAAGTCTGGCTGCCTGCCTTAAACAGTGTATGACCATTTCTATTTACTATCCATAAGCCATGGTTTCCTTTTTGCAAAACGGAGATACAAGTAGCACTTAACTCATAGGATTATAAGAATGAAAGAAAATGATAAATGATATGTAGAGTTCTTAGGATAGTATATGACACAAAAGCACTCTATTATAATTTCCCAGCAAACCCTGTGCAAGCCTCTATACCTCATCTCACTGGGTGCTTACCCTTACTGACCCTCAACACCGTAGACGTATGTTTACCATGTTGCTCCTGCATGGTGCCCCTTTCAGTAAGGCTGAATTTCCAGGAGATACTGCCAATCTAATGCTGTGTTTTTCTGTCCTCCTTGGTCACCCAGACCTCAGGTACCTCTGCCCTCCCTTTGGTGTCCCTGTTCTTCTATGTGGTGACAGATGGCAAGGAAGTCCTAGTGCCAGAGGTTGGGGCCAAGGGGCAGTTGAAATTCATCAGTGGTCACTCCAGTGAACTTGGAGACTTCCGCCTTACACTTACGGCACCAACCAATCCAGGGGACACTGCCCCCAAGTATGGCAGGTAACTGGGGGAAGAGTGTGGGGGTGATGGTAGGGGTGGTATGGGTGCTGACTTAGCCTGATTTCTATCTCCCCCAGTCTACCTTCTTTCCACTGGTTATTTCCCCACTCACCAGGCTCCATGTCCCCTGCACTGCCAAGACCCTCCCATCCTGACTCCCGGTCTCCTCTTATTTCTCTTTATATTCCTCACCATTTTCTCCTGAGTAATTTTTTCTTATTTATCTTCTTCCCTTCAAGCTACAATGTCTTCTGGTCCTCCAACCCAGGACTTGCATTGCTGACAGAGATGGTGAAGAGCCGGCTAAACAGCTGGTTCCAGCACCGGCCACCAGGGGCTTCCCCTGAACGCTACCTCGGCTTGCCAGGATCTTTGAAGTGGGAGGACAGAG